GGGGGAGAATAATAGTACATACTGCCTAGGGCTGTTGTGAGGATTAAAACAACCATTACATGTAACATGTATTACGAGGATCTCAGCTTCCAAATGCCCCATGTACAGATTTTCCAGTGCTCCTGGGCTCCTTTTCACATAATTGGCATCCAGTAATTATGGGAAAAATGTTAGCTATCCTTGTTACTATTTACTCCTAATACAATACAAGATGGGTGGTATTTGTACCCCAAATGAGGAAACTGTATATGTAAAGGAGACATGCAATAATTTGTGGAAGTGAATCCTTCATATTATCTTTTCAAAATTAAAAAAAAAGAAAGGAATGTTCTCTTTTCTTTCTTTTTTTTTTGGAGAGTTATCAGGGCTTGTCAAGATGAAGGGGATAAATCACAGAAACAAAGGAAATGTCCAAGCAGGCTCAGGGTTTGGCCAAACCTTTGGCACCATAATAGAACGGAGCTTTGTGTGTTCGTGAGAAGCCCAGAGGAAGGAGAGAGGCACACTTTCCACAGAATCCGTGGAGGAGATGGGGAGCCGAGGAAGTGTGACTCAGAGCAGCAGGAACCAGCATCTCAAGGATTCTGCAAGAAATGAGAACCGTGGTGCTCCTTTATGAAGCACCTCAGATATCTTCCAGTATTTCCAAGGCCATAACCATGTCCTCAAACTATTTTTATCCAAATAGTTATTATACCACGGATCTCAGGTGGTGGGAAGAAAGTGGGTTTCAAAGAAACCAAAGGAAAAGGTTACGAATCACTGGGGTAGACCATACTCTTGGAAAGGTGGTCAATCTTGCATCATGCTTTTATAAAGACATCTGGTTTGAGGAGGAGTATTTCTAGTAACCCAGATATACTGGTCCCAAACTCGAAACAACTCCAAATACCCATCTTCAGTAGAGCAGAGAGAGAGAGAGATTATGGTATGCTCAAAGTCAGCAAGGTGAGTGCATGAGCCACAGCTACCCTCAGCAATAGGGGTGCAGCTGACCAAGAAAACAGGGTCAAAGAAAAGTAGAATGTAGTGCCATGATTAGTCACAGTCTCCAGTGTTAGAAGTCAGGGGAGTGGTACCTTGGTGGGGTGGTGGTCACTGGAGGACAAAGGCCTTCCGGTCCATTCCTTGCATAGAGAGCAGAGTTACTCAGATGAACTTATTTTGTGAAAGCCCACTGATTTCTTGTGCACTTTCCTGTACCACGCTGTGACCTCTTTCCACAGCCCCTCCTTCGTGATCTGCTGTCCAATAAGTCTTTCGTTAAATAGATGGAAATTAGTCTATTGTTAAATAGATGGTACTAGAATTCTGGATGAAGCTGAAGAAGCAAAGATAAGGAATACACCGAGGTGGGAGGCTGAGATGGTTAAAGTTTATTGTGCCAACCTGGCCAATAAACACATGTGGGGTTAGTTGAAGGGTGGAGAGATAATTGGCTTGTTGAGCCTCACCTTTCTAGTTCTCAGGTCTCTTGCTTTCTGATGGTCAGACCAGGGTGCAGCTGCCTTAGCCAGTTCCCTGCTTCAGCTGGCAAGGCTCACTTCCTGAAAGACATCCCCAAGGAGAAGCCACATGGACCTACCCCGATGCAGCTCTGGGTGCTGGAGCAGCCGTGTGGAGACCCCTGACTGAGATGCTTACACGTTTACTGACTCGGCTTTCCTCCTGCAGTTGGCGTCATAGTGTGTGTTTTGTGAGATGGAGGAGGACTTTGTGGATTGGTGTTGGACATATGGGTTACTAGGTTAATGTTGGACTTGTGGGCACGGGCAGCACTGGGTTGGGATGTTTTCTTGATGCACAGTTAATCTTTATATAAAACTCTCTCTTCTACATGAGTTTCTGTGCATTTGTTTCTCTAAAGTACCCAGACTAACACAGAGGCCATCTTGAGTAGAGGAGATATTTTCATGGTGTTAGTTTTGTGTGTGGGGAGACACTGTTTTGGTCTCACCAGACGGAGAGTTCTGTTTCTTCTTCTCCTGCCCTCTCTCTGCCTGCCCCCTGTCTAATGTCAGGGGCTTTCAGAGCTCTGTCTCTACTCAAATAGTTTGTATACCAAACCAAACCAAACTCACTGCCATAGAGTCGATCCCAACTAGGTGATCCTAGAGGACAGGCCAGTACTGACCCTCTGATATTCTGAGAGACTCTCACTGGAAAGTAGAAAAACCAGTCTTTCTTCCTCAGAGTGGCTAGTGGTTTCGAACTGCTGATCGTGCAGTTAGCAGCTCAACATGTAACAACGAGACCAGGAGAGCTTCTACATAGTCTGCACGTGCCACATAAGCTAGAACCTACCTGAGGGATGAGTGGAAAGGCCAAGCTCCTACTGCAAGTCCCCTTCACTTTGGGGCTGAGTAATTCCTGGACGTCTGGAGAGGAAGCATGGTTAGCTTGAGTGACTCGATGCAAAATCTCTCCCGAGGAAGCTAGTGGGAGAGCCCAGCTTCCCGATGTCTCCGTGGGCCATTTTTAAGTAGGCGAGGACCACCTCTCCTGTGACGGGCAGCACAGGGAAGGAGGGAGGAGAAGGCCTTCCTGAGACTCCTGCAGGCTGAACTGCAGGGAGGTTTGTAAATGACACAGCCAGACAGGGGCAGGCTGAGAATCCCCTGCTTGCTCTGTGCTGTCTGCAGAGCTGCCAGGGCGCTGCGCCATGAAATCTAAGCTGTGCACCAAGACTCAAGCCCGCTGGGCCTGTGGTCACTGCCTGCTGCTGCCTTCAAGGCTGCCTTTGGGCGGGTCAGCTGCTCGGGAGAAAACAACAGGGCCTCAACGTGACAGGCCCCACATTCTGCAGACTTAAAAGGGAAATCCTTTGGATTCGGACTGGACTCCTGGGGCTGGGACCTGGCCTTGCCCTGAGGCTGCAACGAGGCCTGGAAGTGTGGACAGGATGGCCCGTGGCTGTGATTGATTCTTCAGCTGACCAGGGGTCTGAGCTTGTTGTTCCTTCAAACCCTGCCTGCCCTCCGCCGACTGGTGCCACCGGCCCCTAGCCCACTCTTCCTTATTTCTTCTCTCTTAGTCTGATCTCATCGTACTGACTTCCACTTCTTCCACTGAGCCTTGCATAGAGGGCTTCTGAACCTCACAGCTGCCCAGAGTTTTTGCCCCCCACATCATGACCCCTTAAGAAGAGTTTCTTCTTGTGCGTCCCATCCCCACTCTGTTCTCCCATGCACTTTCTTTGGTTTCTTAGATTGTCATTGTAATTTTCCTTCCCATTTCTACAAAGGCAGGATACAGAGGAAGGTCAGCAGAGGGCAAAGATCATGGGGCTGAAATCAGGAGACGGATGGGCCAGTCTGAGAGCCATGGTGAATGCGACCAATTGAACTGCACCTGGATCTTCCAAAGCTACTGAACTTCCAGAGCATCTGTATGGCTTTAGTGATAGATACACATCCCCACACAAGTTGATAGATAAGTGGTGTGTGTGTGTGTGTGTGTGTGTGTGTGTGTGTGTAAAAGACAGACAGAGACAGAGGAACAGAGAGAATGAGAGAACAGGAGAAGAAGAGTACTGAAGCCAAGGAATAATCCCACAGGCCATGCTGTGGTTGCTATGAGTTGCTGTCGAACCAATTGTGACTCAGGGCAACCCCTGCTCCTCTTCAAGGCTGTTGCTGTTTGGAAGCAGATCGCCAGGCCTGTCTTCTGAGCCACCTGTAGGTGGGCTCCAGGCATCAATCTCAGACCCATCACCGTTTGTGGTATTCACAGGCCCCATGACCCCTTTCCATTAGTACATAGAGATGGAATCAGAATGCGTCTATCTGAGAACTCTCTTTTCACAGCTCCTTGTCATCAGGTGTAACCCTCACCCCATTTTTTTCTTCTTCTTCACAATTCAGTGAAATAAAGGAAGTCACTTAAAGCTAGTTTTTCTTTGGCTGTCTCCAAAGGTCCCCATAACTGCTAGTTCCTGTTTGTGGTGAAAATGCTCTTAGATAAATGAATGAAGGGCACCAGACACAGCAAACAAATCAGAGGCCCAAACCCAAGCTCGTTTGTAAGAACAGTGACCCCTCAACAGGGCTCACCGTTGCCCGTGAGATGCCCACCAGCCCCGGGCCTTGGGAAAAGGTGGGACCCCATCAGTTTCTCTTCCCTGGCCTCCTCAGCCCCTTTCAAAACTCGGGCTGATTTACCAGCCTCTTCGCCACAGTCGTTTTCCAAACGAATTAGAAACCATCAGCCAAGTTTTCCAGAGGAGACTAAATCCAAGAAGACATAGGGATGTAAGGACAGCCTTGTCCGGCTGCAGACAAGGGTAAGCTGTTTTTCTCTCTCTTTCTTTCTTTCTTTCTTTCTCATGCCCCAACAAAGAGAAGCCCTGCACCTGGCCCATGGCATCAAGTCCAGTGACCATTGCACCCACATGCACCTTGGTCCTGGAAGAATTCTCAGGCTTTCGAGTTGGGTGGGGGAATTGCAGCAAAACTTTTCTCTGGTGTCTCAAAGGGCCTTGGGAAAGCAGCAAGTCCTGGCCAGCAGGCCAGGCCTGGGTTCGCACCGTGGACTTGCCTGAGTTCGCACAGCGGCCCAAACTTTCCCTCGCTTGGAGTCAGCGTGACATGATTTGTTGTCCTTTGGCTGCGTTACTTCTGCAAAGCAGATAGCAGTGGCTGCCAGCTCGGGAGCGCCTGCCCGTCTGGACGCCATTTGTTTGGACAGGCCAGGCCCCGAGTCCTTGTCACCTCTTTAACGCTCCCCGGACAGAGAGCAGAACAGTGGAGGAATTCCTTCTTCTTTTTTTTTTTTTTTGCCCCTTCCAACATTTTGTTTAAGAGAAAATGAGATGTCTATCTTCTGTTTCCTTATTTTTTTTCAGGAAAGCAAAGGGTTGTTGACTTCCTCCCTCTCCCCTCCCTTCCTTCCTTCTTCCCGAAGGTACTCATCTGAGAAAAAGAGAACGAAGTATTGTTCCTGTTCTCTTTCTTAAGTCATCTGCAACACTGTCCCCGCGAGTTCCTTAAGTCCCCGCAATCTGTACACAAGAGAAGGAGGGAGAGAGAGAGGGAGAGAGACAGAGAGCGGGGGATCAGGTAAAGCTGCGGGCTGCTGCAGCCCCTCCGCACGCGGGAGCTGGTAAGTTACCCATGCAATTGCTTCTACTTCCATTTCAATATTCCCGGGATTGAGAGGGCCATGGGCATCTTCCCTGGAAAAATCCTTATCGGCTATAGTCCGTAATCAAAGGGTATGAGTGATGGATGGCCCAGAATGTACGCTTGTACTTTTTTTTTCTTGGAAGAAACTACTGATGCTTTGCAGAGCTGAGTCTGGCAGAAGTAGAAGACGTGCCCTGGGGCGAAGGAGGACACTGGGTTAACTTGAATTCTGGCACAAATCGGTGGCTGGGTAACCAGGAGGCATTGGGGTGTGTGCTGTGTCTCACAGGAGAATCCACCCGTCCTCTGTGCCGCATCCTGGGAGCCTTATCAGAGGCTGCTCAGAAATGTGGTCTCTTCTGGTGGTTTGCTGCAGTGTCGGGCCGGGGCTGTCATTCTTGTGTTCGTTTCTTGAATTCCAGTCCCCTGAAGAGGCTTGTTGGTTAAAGACTTATTCTGCATCACTGAAGTAGGAGGGAAAAAGAGGGGTGGGGGGATGTCACTTGGGATGGTATTACATGGGAGGGGGGGGCTTGTGTGTGGAGGTTCACATGAAGGGTTGGGTGCACATTTCTCATCCACTGCTTATTTCAGTAATCACCTGTCCCACAGAAAGGAAGGTGAATGTTTTGAGGCATGGAGCTTTAGTTTTGGAAAGCAGTATGTGACGGTGCATACTCCTGGAGGGTTATGGTCGATCACTTAGGTCAGGACGAGTAGAAATCTGAGCTCCTGGTGCAATTGAAAAACATTCCCCCAGTGCTGTTTCCTAAACGCCCAACAGCGCCGCAATTCAGGCACGCTTGCCCACAACGAGTCTGAAAATGTCTAACTTGTTTCCGTGACATTCACCAGAACAAGTAATGTGACCCAGCACTCCGGGTGGCAGTCATGATAGAGCACAAGGTGACTTTGAAAGACCGTCGATTTACAAAGGTCAAGAATTTCATCCAGAGAGTTGTCGACCGGGAGAGAGGCAGAGACCAGGCATAATTCTTTAAAAAAAAAAAAAATCATTTCTATGAGATGTACTAAAGTCACCTGGGATGTAAAGAGTGTGACAAAAATAGCTGGCTTCTCATTATCAAAGAATTCAGCCAAACAATGTGTTACCCACACGCAAGTAATTCATCTTGATTAGAAACCGGGCCATCATCTTACTAGGATGAGGAGCTATGATAGAACTGGACAGTAGACTGTGTCTCATTAGTCATGCTTATTTTTTCTTCTCCTCTTCAAAAAAAAGTTCCTTAAATTGAACAACAACAACACACACGTACGCACAGGAGGCTTATTGAATGCTTGCCAACTGTAGGATGGAGATGCAAAATTAGCCTAATAACAGCTGAAAGTGGTTTTCAGCCCTGTGCCACAAACCTTCACGCCCTCCCTCGCTAGAGCTTCAGCTCAAAGGGAGTGGGGGAACTAGTTGCCTTGGGTGTTTGCATCTTTAATCAGCAGTTGTGGCCCTGGTAGAAAATTCAGGGCTGCAATCTTGATATGTTTCTTTCAGTTTCGTTTTTTCTTGGGTAATGTATTTACTTGTGTGCCAGATTAGAACAACATCGCAGTGTGCTCTCTGGTGTGGGTCACTGAATAAAAAACCCAATGCCGTAAGACAAAAGTGGGCAGCTGGGTTATGCAGTAAAGACAAGCAAAAATAAGACCCAAAATAGGGGTGCTCCGATGACTAGCACAGACCCACCTCTGGCATGCCTCGTTAAGCGGCCCGATCAAGCAACCTGGGTTAGATTACGTATTTTCTTTCAAAGGAAAATGTATAGTTAATGTTTCCATTACAGATGTTAAATCCTTGCCATGAGATGACTTGCTCTATATTTTGCCCCCCCCCAGTGAAAAAATCCATCAACAAATTTAGTCTAGTCACTACCATATAGCTATCTTTCCTGATCTCCCAACAATAAGTTGATGTTCACGGAAAGTTCCAGTGTGATTCTTTCTTGGGGTCATCAGAGGTGTGTGTGTGTGTGTGTGTGTGTGTGTGTGTGTGTGTGTATGTCTGTGTATGTGTGTGATATCATTAAGGGAACTCCAGCATGGAATGGTCCAAAATTTGAGAATCATTTCTTCCCAGACTCCATGTACAGCTAGCTACGAATTACTCATGTGAATTTTAAATTGTGTTAGTATATTTATCTGGCAGCCGTGTGTGCTGGGGTGTGAAGGAAATTAGAGCCAGCAGGGCATCAAAAGCACAGGCTTTGTTGTTAGACAGGATCTGTTTTCATTTCAACTTTGTCTTTACTGCCCATGGGATTTTAGACCAGCTGCGTGTCTCTCTCGGTTTCCCCAAATGTAAAAGTGCATCCGTATAATCGAGTTGCTGTGAGGATTAAATACAATTGTATTTGTAAAATAACTAGCACATGCTTGGCAAGTAGTTAACCCACTGTCATCTAGTTGATGTGATTCCTGCTGGCCCTAAGGGACACAACGGAACTGCTCCCCAGGGTTTCAGAGACTGTAAATCTTTATAGGCACACAGCTTTATCTTTGTCCCCCAGAGTGGCTGGTGCCTTTGAGCAGGAGACCTTGCAATTACCACCCAACATTTAACCACAGCAAGTAGTAGAGAGTCAGTCAATGTCACTTATAATTTCTTAACAGTTGTGCGATAACAGTTAAGGGAACTCTGTGTGTGTGTGTGTGTGTGTGTGTGTGTGTGTGTGTGTGTGTGCATCCGTGGTCCAACTTCATTTCTCTCTCTCTCTCTCTGAATTTTAAAACCTACATGTTGCTTAGTTTCTGGTTATTTAGGGTTAAACTGCTTCTCACTTTACACAACAACAACATACCACCAGCCACTAAAACCTTTGAGGCATTTTTTTGGTTAAAATAAAAAGAAAACTAAACAAAATGAAGCAGAAAACCAGTTGCAGTTGAAAGCATACTGAATCCTGGCAACCCCATGTGAGTGGGAATAAGAGGTGCTGGTGTGAGAGAGTTTGGATAGAGAGAGATATAATACAGAGATTGTTCAGACACTTAACCTCAAGAAAGCAATTGGAGTTGAGGTATTATACACCAATATGTAACTGAGTGCACAGATACAAAGACGTGATTGAGAGACAAGGTTTGTGTTCTGCTTCAACTTCTGCCACACTTAATGTGAGTGAGTTGACAGATTTCTTGCTTGGACCGTAGTTACCTCATCTGTTCATTGATGGGGTGCATGAAATCAATATCAAGGTGGTCTGTGTGTGAGGGTGCACCAGGATTCCCGTTCTTCTCCTGCCCACTGGACTCTCCAGAGCCTGACGCTGAGCATCCCGAGATGCTCAGAAAGGAACGCTGGTTTCTTGTTCCATCTTCTTCAGCATTGTATTGGCATTAAACACAAACACGAGGATAAAACCTATAGCCCATTTTAAAATGTAACTCCTATTCAGCAACTGATATTCTCTCTTGAAATTCATTTGTAATATATTGATTGTTATTCTAGGAGTTGTTAATGTAATGGATACAGAAACATGCTAGCCAGGCCAAGCAATCTGACGAGATTGATCAATATTTATAACCCATATCCAAACTATCAAAGTATTGATTAGTGAGATCTATGAATATTTTAATTCTGAATAAGTAACTCATCTTGATTTATACATTTCTATCTTTCTTAAAATAAATCATGTTATTGGAGGCTCTTACAGCTTTTATAACAATCCCTCTTTTATACTACAGTGAGTTATGTATTCTCTCAAGAGAAGCAGATATTTAAATTTTCCTATTCACGTCTTGTAAAGATTTGTAGATCACTCCCAGAAAGTGTTTGTTCTTGGTTGTTCATTCTTTCGTGTCCTTGAGTTAATGTGACACAGAAAGGCATAATTTGAACAGTGGTGTTTGAGACACCAGCACTCTCATAGCATGTTTAATCTGCTGTGATTATAAGAAAACCTACAAAGTGGAGAGAAAATGTGTTCTGGCTTTCCTGACTTAGTTTTTATCTAAATCACTTGATTTCCCCTCTTTTTATGAGTGTGGCTATGTGGTTGACAAAGCAGAGCAGGAATGGGCACAGGTTCTCAACTAGGAGGAGCAGAGAGACAATCAACATTTAAAAGTATCTATTTTATTAACTTTCAGGTAAAAGTTTACACAGAAATTTAGGTTTCCCTTTCACAATTTCTATACAAATTGTTCCATGACATTAGTTACAATTTGTATAGTGTGTCAGCGTGGCCATCATTTCCACCCAGTACATTTTGTTTTCATGGACCTTGCTTCCCTTCCTCTCCTTGCCTTCTCATCTTTGCTTTTGGGTGAATGTTGGCCATTTGGTCTTACGCAGTCATTGTATAAGGGAGCACAGGACTCGGATAATATTGTTTATTTTATAAGTCATTTTACTATTTGGCTGAATGTTGACCCACATAAATAGGCTCAAAACCTATTCAAAGTTATCTTAGAGCAGTAGTCTTGGGTCCTCCTAGTCTCTAGTGGTCCAGTAGGTTTTGTCCTTTCTTAGGATTTCTAGTTTGGGTCTACATTTGTTTCCCATTGTCTCCGTGGTCGGAATGGTCAGCACTGGCAGCTGTATATCTTCTAGTTCGTCTGGTCTCGTGTTAGAGAAAGCCGTGGATCCTGTGGCTCTGAGTCCCATGGACTAGTTTCTTCTTTGAGATTTTAATGACCTGCATTCTGTTTTGTTCTGCTAGAGACCAATAGCTGTATCTTAGACAGCCAATCACAAGATTTTTAGAAGCCCAGGTGCAGCTCATCAATCTAGGACGCAGAACCTTATCTCCGTGAACTATGCTGTGCCAATTGACTAAGTTCTCTCCTGGGACTATGGGCCCAAGTCTTCTAACCCAGTAAACTAATCCCTGGAGTTGTTTTGATACATCTAGGAAGACTCTGTAACTGCCCTCTCTGTAGTTTGCTATCTATATATATATATATGGATATATATAGAGATCTGTATACACGTATGCATTTATTCACATTCACCTTTTTATA